GATCATCCTAGGTTACTTAGTGAGTTAAAGGACAGCCTGGGCTGCACATGACTGTCTCAAACAGCTTAACAAATAAGAACAGCATAAAAACCACCAAATATTACAAAATGATAAATGTGAGAAGTCTTTAAAAGCCCAAAGTTAGGCTGGAAGTAGCAGTGCATGCTTTTAATCTCAGCACCCAGGAGGCAGAAGCAGGCAGATCTCTCTAAGTTTGAGGCCAGTATAGTCCACAGAAAGTTCCAGGACAGTCAGGGCTACACAGACAGACTCTATCTCAAACAGACAAACAAACAAGTGCTGTGGGATGGTTTTCCTGTATGCTGTGAATATGTGTTGCTACTACTGGTTAATAAAGAAGCTGTTTTGGCCTATGGTAAGACAGGATAAAAGCCAGGTGGGAAATCCAAGAGAGACACAGGGAGAAGAGGGCTGAGTCAGAGCAGACGCCAGCCCCACTGCCAAGGATCAACATGACAGCAGACTGGTAAGGCCATGGCAATGTGTCAAAACATAGATTAATAGAAATGGATTAATTTAAGATGAAAGAGCTAGCTAGCAAGAAACAGACCAAACAATGTGTAATTAATATAAGCCTCTGTGTGTATATTTGGGACTGAACAGCTGTGGGACTGGGCAGGACAGGAGAACTTCTAGCTACAAACAAGCACTCCAAGTTAAACACCATTTTGAGCCATTTTCAATATTTATTTATTTTTACATTTTTAGGATAGAGTCTCACTATATAGCTTGGCCTGATCTGTAACTCACTATGAACATCAGGCTGGCCTTGAATTCAGAGTCCTGTCTTCTCAGTGCTTACTTTTTAATTCTTCATTTTTTACTTGTGTGTATGTGTGTACACAAATCATGCATGATGCATGTAAAGGTCCGAGGACTTGTAGGAGTCATTTCTTTCCTTCTACCACGTGGATTCTGGAGGTCAAACTCAAGTTGTTAGAGTTGATGGCTGGCATTTCTACCCACTGAGCTATCTAGACAATATTTAAATCTTTGTACATCCAGGATATAGTATGAATTTTACAACCTAGCAAGAAACTAGTTTGGGAGTAAAGTGAGGCTAGAAGGTTACAGACACAAAGCAAGTCAGCAGCAAAGCTCAATCTACAGCATGAGAAGCCTAGTAATCTTTTCACTACAGATTTATATCTTCCTAACCAACCTGTCTTTCTGGATTCTTTGCTACTGACTTGGTCTGGAAATAGACTTTATATGCCAAGGTCAAGACTTATTACAGCAGGACTGTGACTAGGTGGATACTAGCCTTACTTTGTTAAGGTAAGAAATGGAACTCAAGCAATGTCCTCAGTCAGCAAAGAAAAATCTAGACTTCAATCAAGTGTTTGTGCATCCTGAAGGCTACAGTTTGGAGGAGACTATAAAAAAATATGATTTCCTAGCTTTTCTGAAGTGCTGAGATGATGAAAGCAAGAATATTTGCCTCTAGCTTTCTCACCTGACCTGGCCAAGTGTCTCAGGAAATTTCTCAAGAGGAAAGCAAACCATTTTCAAAGGTGTCAACCTCCTTTCCCTTCTATGTCAATACTCAAGTATTACCCTCACTTTAGACCTCAGACTCTGAGCACAGCTCTTAAGTGTGTATTCTACACTTGGAAATTGGGATGTGTGACTCATTTTCTCACATATGATCTCACGAGACTCAGACAGGCCAGCCTCTTAAAATGACACACGGCAGACCTTTTCTCTAACGGGAAATATGCATGGCTCATGTATTGCTATCAAGCTTTCTATCACTATAATCCTAAATCACAAGATCTAAGATAAGACATACAGACCCATGGTTAGATTATGAAAGGCTGTTTATATCTAGTACTCATGCAAGGCCAGGTGAGACAAATGCAAAGTATGCAAAGGAAACAGATCTTTAGGAAAAACAGTAGCTCATTTGGTGTTCTTCTGTGAGGCTAAAGGTAAAAGTACAAAGGAAAATACCTAAAATCTGGCCGTGGTTGGTCTACAACTGGGCATAAAATACCCCCTTGCTGAGTTTCTAAGAGTTCACAGCAGTGCTCCAGGCTCTTTTATAGCTTTAATGAACCAGGGGTGGGTGGGACTTATTTACTTCTGCTTTATATGATGTTACTGCTGTTAGCAGCAGCTCTTTCTCTTTTGTACTTGGTGCTTGACCTGAACAATTAGCACCTTATTACAGCCCTAATTACTAACTGGCTCAATTAAGCATTTCATTTTACTGTCTGGTTCATGCACTAGCTCAAGGGCCTGAACACCTCAGCTACAATAAATCCTAAACTTCTTTTAAGCAAGTGCCTGATTTTTCATGTCTTTAGGTCCATGAGAATGTCAGGCATTCATAGGCATTAGAACACTTCCTGAAATGTTTGGCTCTCCAAGCATGTACATTATACAGTCAACCCTTTCCTTCATTCCAGATCTATCAGACTCTGCTCTGGAGGGCTTTCTTCTTAGCTACTTGGAGTTTAGCTTTACTGTTCAATGTAACATTTTCATTTATCTGATGAGGCGGGCTAAAACAGGCACAAGACTTATCAACATCACATTCCATGTGGTTCTAGAAATAGGATTCAAGATAAGTGAGTTCATGCTAGAACAACCATCCTTGCTTTTGAAATTAAACCCGTTGGCCTGGAGATACAATTCAATGATAGACAAACATGGGCTTTATGCATTAGGTCCCCTGATGGATGACACAGAGATTGTGAGGTGCTACAGAAGGTGACATTTCCGAGTGCAGGTTTGGGAGCTACAAAGCCTCCACTCAAATCCTGTCTCTGCTACTTATTAGTTATGTGATCAGTGACTTTGCTCAGACACTTATGTTTTCTGTGCCTGTTTTCCAAACTGTAAAATTGTCCTCATAAGGCTATTTTGAGAACTGAATCTTTGTAAAGTTTCTGACACACTAAAACCATCACACAGTATCATAGAAAATTAATAGAGCATAGAGTTTTATAAAAGACACAGCAACCAAACAGCATGAAACAAAACAAACAGAAAACAAAAAACCTAACAGAAACGGAAAAGCAAACTGGTATAACACAATATAATGTGCCATCCTTGGTTCTTTTATTTTTTCTGGTTCTAATATGTTTGAATTGTTTCAACAAAAAAGAACTATAAGTTGATGAGCTCTAAAGACATCTAATGAACTTAATGAATATGATGAAAATGATCTCGTGGCACATAGGAGGAATAGCTGAAGATGTTACCAACATTCTAGCAGAGAATATAAGCTCCATTGTTTATGTTTCCTTAGGCTTTCTGAACCTAATATCAGATATCACTCATAAAATTAGTCACCAAATAAATAATGCTGACCCTTCTCCACAAAGAACCTGATGCTGGTTGTCAGGGTAGGGTGTATATGTGTGGTACTGTGGAGGGAACCTAGGGCCTTTGCACATGATAGTGTCCTACCACTTATATATTTTTAAAGACATGTTGAAAGATGCCCCCCCCCCCAGGAAAATGACTCCATGGTAATCAAACTCAACATTTCTGCTAGTGTCTTTTCTGACTTTTCAACTGGCAGTCATCTTTACAATCTTCAGCCTGCCCCCCTCTATATACTATTAAAATGGTTTATTTTCCCAATAATTTCTAGCACAAGGTACCCTGACTAATGGCAGGAGTCCTTATTATTTCACCAGTTCCTCACACAGAATCTAACTGTCCAACCAAAAACAGAGATGGAGTGTAGGTGCTGTGTTTAGTTTGGCACCTGTTCCTCCACAAAAGGAAGAAAACCTGTCCAGTTTCACTTTCCCCAGTTACCCTAGAGGGCAAAGTACAACCCTGCGAGAAGTCTTCTCTCAGGAGCACCTGTAGTACTATGTATGGACCCAGGAAATTCATGTCCACTCTATCAATGAGAAAAGACCATCCATTTTAGGGCTCAACAGTTAACAGTTCAGGACCTAGGAATATAGTCAGGCATTTCCTGTTACTTTTTTGACTCACCTGGCGATCCCACTACTACATCTCTAAGCACCATGTTCTGTGGCTATGCTTACAGCAGACTTCCCTTCTGCCCTGGAAGATTCTATGGTCAGAAGTTCTGTTTATTTAGTTAGCTGTGAAGCTATATGGAAGAAACGCCTCTTTTGTTGTTGTTCTTTAAGACAGGGTCTCACTATGCAGCTCTGGATGTCCTGGAACTCACTATGTAGAGTAGGCTGGCCTAGAACTCACAGAGATCCGCCTCCTAAACACTGGGATTAAAGGCGTTTGTGTGGCTCCCACTTTTTATTTCTTAATGATTAAGCTGTGAAGGGTTACTTTCCTCAAAAATAAAACATCATCAGATAAGTGACTTTTCAATCAATTCCTCCTATTTTCCCACATAGTTCCTTTAAAACTCGGTTCATATACTATCTCTTTTTCTTAAAGAGCTCCCACGATGACCCCAGCTTCACCTTGGAGGCATCCTTTCTAGATATCCAAGTCCCATTTCCTTCCAGGGTTGGTTCTTTTCCAGGCAGTTGTCCAACCACCTCCCTCAGCGATCCCCTCCATCAAGGCATTCTGAAGCGCCAAGACACTCTCCCTACTCTCTCTGGGGCAATACTCCAGCAACCACACGAGGCAAGGGTAACTCACAAAGCCCTGGGTCACTATTTGATGATGGGCAGTAAGGGAGAAAGAGATAAGGGAAGAGACAACAGAAAGATCGACCTCTGGAGTGGAGGGAGGAATAAGTAAACTGAGAAGCCGGAGCCCCACTCCTAGCTCAGACCCTTCCCGACCAGAGTGACTTAACGAGGGATCCACAGTCTTTTCAGCCACCCTAGGGACCAACTAAGGGGGTTTAGGAGATGTTCCCTCATGAGCAGCACGACTTCCGCCTTTCTGAGGCATCTCACGTGCACGAGCTCAGCTACTTCGACTCCGGCCCCAGGGCGCAAGGGTGCGCGCTTCTCACCGAGTCCCGGCTGGGGCCCCGCACCTCCCTCCTCCTGGGGCTTCCTCTCCAAACTGACCGTCAACCTGAAGGCAGCTCGCAGTCCCGCGCCGCCAGCTGCTGCCCCTATCCCGGGGCCCACCCTCCAGCGTCCGCGATGGCTCGGGCACCGGGCGCCGCGGCTTGCCGGACTCGGCCTCACACCGGGCGGCGCGCAGGAGAAGCCCATGGAGCTCCAGGCGGTGGCGGCAGCCGCGGCTGCGGGAGCGGCCACCGCGCGGACTGATGACGCTCAGGCACCGTGGGGAGGGGCGCAAACTGATGACGCGCAAGGGCGCGCTGTGAGCTGAACAGCATGGCGTCGGTGGCACTAAGCGAAGCTGAGAAGGTTTACATCGTTCATGGAGTACAGGTAGCGGTGGCGGCTCTGGGTGCAAGCCTTATCGCTGAGGGAGAAGGTGCGGGGCGGCTGTGTAGCGGAGACCGACTCTCCGAGGCCTAGTGCGGCCTGAGGCGAGCGTGCATCCAGCATGCCTTGGTTCTACAGCTCTCGGGATGGAGATTCCTAGCCCATCAGGGAGCAGTGGGCGTCTCCTAAGACTATTGCTTAGTGGAGGAATGTTCTTACGGCCTCCTCTTACTGAAGGGCCTGTGCCTGAGATCCTGTAACCAGAATCCGGGTCCGTGGATGGACGTCTGCAGACTTTGCACCGAGAGATACAGAGGCTATGCATCAGAGGGAGAAAGGCTTTCAAAATGTAAACTAACAGCACCCTCATCCCCCGCCCAGAAAAGGGAAGGAAAGAAGGGAACCTCAGTTGTAGCACCTCAGTAGTAGAATGCTTGCCTAGCATGCACAAGGCCTTGGTGGCTAGCTCCTGTAATCCCAGCACTTGGGAAGTGGAGACAAGAGAATCAGGAGTTTAAGACCAGCCTGAGCTATACAGACCCAGTCTCAAGAAAAATCACATTCACACATGCGTATTGCTTACAAATGGGGAAGAATGGAGAGTGATTTGTTTTTCTTTTGCCGGTACTGGAGATTGAACCTTATGGTCTTGTGCATGCTAGGCAGGCATTCTACCACTGAACCGCATTCCCAGCCCTTTTCTCTTTTGGGGGGCGTGGGAGGGTGGATGGGGGGTCTTTGTATCCCAGGCTGGTGTGGGACTCATTGTATTCCCATCACCACCTGACTGAGAAGATTTGTTTTCAAAGCAGACTGGTAGACAGTGGTATAGTTGTTGATTTTTCTGTTTTAGCTTAGATTCCTGGGTAGCTATAACGAATACCATAATGTAGACTCAGTTCTACTTTTGCACATTCAAGAGAAAGCGGTGAAGAGTATTAACCTGGCAACCATCTGTCTGATATCTTGCAAGTCTTTTCTCTGCAGTTGATCTTTGATGTAGCCATCAGATTAAAGCAACCTGTTACCATTTAAACTCCATAATGCAAGTGAAGGCCATGGTCTTTAAAATCATATAACATACTGTTATCTTCTGTGCTCCTTATAGAGAAGAAATGCCAATATTTAGTCAATAGGTTGCATATTATTAACCCTGATTAATAAAATCCACTAAACTCATTAGCTTTTCAGTTCAAGATTAGCAATAGTGGGGTATTATGCAGAATGGTGTTGTGAGGGAATGTTAAAGTGGTCAGCCCTGGTGTGGGAATCAGCCCTGGGGGCGATTGTTGCTTCCCTTTCAGTTTTTTTGTTTGTTTATTTGTTTTTGTTTTGTCAGAAGTGTGGCTTTGTCCTAAACCATTCATTCCACATCATTAGCCTTCATGGTGACTGCATTAAGAGCTGTTGAAATTTAAATTCTTCAAATTGAGGAAATATTAAATGACCTGAAGAAAAAGTGGGTTCACTGTAAGAACTGGAAAGCTTCCATACAGCTTCAAAGTACCTTCTCTCAAAATAACCATAACGATCAGTGACTATCTCTGGTAATTCATCTACTTTTCTTTGCCAAACTATATTCTTTCTCAGTGACCACTTGCTTCCCTTCCATCTTGGTGAAATCTGTGCAGCCGCCCCCAACCCCTGTACCTTTAATTTTGCATGGCTTCTCCATCCCCTCTCCATCCTCTCTATCACATTATGTCCTAACGACTCTTTGCTTTTTTGAGACAGGGTATCACTATGTACCTTGGCTGTCCTGAAACTCATAGAGATCTACCTGCCTCTGCCTCCTGAGTGCTGGGTACAAAGATGTGTGCTATTATGTTGGGCTAGTTTAACAACTCTTAATTTGATCAGAGATCCAGTTCCACTGAGAGACTTGGTCTGGGCTGCTAGTGGTTTGTTACAGAAAGAGCAGGTCACCCTCTATGTGGCACTTACCTCTGACCCTGTGGAGGGTGGGTAGTAACTCAGGTGGCCACTGGAGCTGTAAGCTCAGTGGGCTTTTCCTGGTCTATCCTTGTAGATGTAACCAACCGTCTTATTAAATAAGAAACACAGAAACAATGTAAAAGAGAAAGCCGAGAGGTCAGAGCTCAGAGCTAAAATCT